CTTTCCTTCACCTGGGAACCTCCAAGCCCAGCACAAGTAGCAGCCATCTCAGGTGCTTTATAGCTCAAGCAAGGTGGCCCCAGGCAGAACACAGGTAGGGGCTGACCTTGGCCTACACCACCTGGAAAACCCTAGAGTGTGTACACCCAGACAACAGCTGCAGATCATGTTGGAGCACCACCACCCCTCCCCTACATGACTGATCCTTCATGGAGAGTAGAGGTTGGTGATAAATGGTCACAACCAATCCTTGCAGCTGACTGGGCTTGGTAAATCCCTTCCATTGATCTGCCAACAGCAGATCAACTACAAGAAGAGGGTGTACTCAGCATACACAAATGGCACATCTTGAGTACCCAGAATGGGTAATAGGAAAGGCTGCGTCAATGGACCCTATATGACACCTACTATATCAGGCCATACTACTAAGAGAGGGAGGCATAGCAGCTCTCCTAATATATAGAAACAAACACAGGGAGGCTGCCAAAACAAGGAGACAAAGAAACATGGTCCAGATGAAAGGACAGATAAAAGCTCTATAAAAAGAGCTAAACAAAATGGGAGAAGCAATTTATCAGATAGAGAGTTCAAAACACTGGTTATAAGAATGCTCAAGGAACTTAGTGAGGACCTCAATGGCACAAAAATATCCAGAAACAAAGGATATGCTAATGGAAATAAAGAACAATTTACAGGAAAACAACAGGAAAGTGGATGAAACTGAGAATCAAATCAATGATTTGTAATATAAGGAAGCAAAAACCAACCAATAAGAACAACAAGAAAAAAAAAGAACCCCAAAAAATGAGGATAGTGTAAGGAGCCTCTGGGACAACTTCAAGAGGTCCAACATTCGCCTCATTGGGGTGCCATGGAGAATAGAAAGAGCAAGAAATTGGAAATCTATTTGAAAAAATGGTGAAAGGAAACTTCCCTGATTTGGTGAAGGAAATAAACATGCAAGACCAGGAAACACAGAGAGTCCCAAGCAAGATGGATGCAAAGAGGCCAATTCCAAGACGCATCATAATTAAAATGACAAAGATTACAGATAAAGAGAAAATCTTAAAAGCATTTAGAGAAAAGCAGTTAGTTACCTATAGGGGAATACCAATAAGACTGTCAGCTGATTTCTCAAAAGAAACTTTGCAGGCTAGAAGGGATTGGCAAGAAACATTCAAAGTCATGAAAAGCAGGGACCTACAGCTAAGATTGCTCTACCCGGCAAGGCTATCATTTAGAATCAAGGGCAGATAAAGAGCTTCCCAGACAAGAAAAAACTAAAGGAGTTCTTCATCACCAAAGCATTATTACGTGAAATGTTAAAGGAACTTATTTAAGAAAAAGAAGATGATCAAAACTATGAACAATAAAATGACAATAAATACATATCTATCAACAATTGAATCTAAAAAACAAACTAAGCAAACAAGAAGAATAGAGAAAGTATCATGGATGTGGAGAACGTTTTGATGGTTGCCAGATGGGAAGGGTGGTGTGGGGGAATGGGTGAAGAGGTGAGGGGATTAAGCAGTATAAATAGGTAGTTACAGAATAGCCACGGGTATGTAAAGTACAGTATAGGAAATGGAGCAACTAAAGAACTTATACACAGGACCCATGGATGTGAACAATGGTGTGGGGATTGCCTGAGAGAGTGGCTGGTGCTGGGGAGAGGGGGAAATTAGGACAACTGCAATAGCATAATCAGTTAAATATGATTTTTAAAAAATGAAGCATTTAAGAAAAAAGAATAATGTTCAGACTTACTAGCAATCAAAGAAATGCAAATTAAAAAACAAATTATTATTTTTTCTTTCAATTTGACAATGGTTCAAAGAATACAATGGCTAGCATTGAAGTCTGGTCATACATGGGCACTCTCATGCATAGTTGGCAGCGTGTATGCTGACAAAACTTTTCTGGGAGACAGTTGTCTAAATGAATCGACGACTTCGAAAATCTTCATACTGTTTGTCTTAGTAATCCTACTCTATCATGAGACATACAAAGATGTGTGTATGTGAATATTCACATTGTGGTGCTAAATAAAAATTTTTTTAAATGACATGATTGGAGTACGGTTTAATGCACTATGACGTGTGTATGGACCATTAGAAATTAATGGAAGTCTTTAGAAACAAGTCTGCATAGTTCTCGTGTTTGGGTGATGGAAAGGTGATGGTACAAAAACATGAGAGAGAAAGGAGAGCACAGATGCAAGGAGGGACATCAAAGGAAGGTGCCAAGCAGTGAGGACTCTTAGCCACTTCGCAAGCTCTGGGAGCTGCTGTGGCTTCCCACAGTTCCTCAGGGTAACATCCACATTAAATTCCAACACCTAAAGGTTTAGAGCTTGCTACACTTCTGTCTTTCTTAATATATAAGTCAAAACCACAAATAACATTGTTATAGAAAATTTCTTACATACCACTAGCTGCTTGTCTACTCCAGGTTTGTTTGTATCTAACTCCCTTGTTGCTTTAGTCCTACCTTCAACAGAAAATTAAAAGTTAAATAAAATCAAAGTTAGCATTACCTATGTTTCTTTATTTCTAAGGCAGTTTCTTTATTTCTTCATTACCTATAAAAAATGCAGCTTAATAATTTAATTTTAGTGATTGTTGGTATTTACTATGCAAATATTTAATGATGTACTTTACATAGCAATTTCAGTTATAAAACATTTATTGGATGAATTATGACAGTCAGAAAAAGTGAGCTATTTTGAACATTTAATTCTAATCCTTGCCATTGAGTCTTGGAGAATTTGATCCAGGGGATATTTGGAATTTGTCATTGGCTCTTGTTCTGCTAATGCTTTAAGCAGTTAGTAACTGTGGTCAGAATGATCAAAAATATTTATAAAGTTAGATTTAAATGTAACAGAACCATGTGGACAATAGAAGATTCTTGAAATACCAGAGACACATATAGTAATAGTCTCATCATTTGCTAAATCAGAGATAATACATGGGTGTTGAGCAAGTAGAATTCAGGCCGTGTGTGCGATACCGATTCTCTATACCCTCAAAGCAGCCAGGAAGTGGCCTGGGACTTAGGAACCCCAGACTGGTCTCCTGACATCCATCATCTGTCTGTGCAGCAGAAGGCAGATACAGAGCACCTGGGTCAGCCCGTGACCGACAACGGGACTCATGGAGCTGCTGGGGGAGTTTGTCTCCCACGTGCTCGAGGACAGGAGAAGCAGCCTGAGCTCAAAAGCGGGGTAGGGGGTGGCAAAGGGAGAAGTAGGCCCTGCAAGGAATATTACCACAGTGAACACTCACATCAATAAAATTTGATATGGACAAAAGAACTTGATATGGCATTGATATGGCATTGTTGTTTGTAGAAAAGAATAGATACAACAAAAACTAATTTCAGTTACAAAAAATTAAAATGGAAAATACAAGGTGGGGCAAAAGTGGGGTTCCAGTTGTGAGTACATGAAACACAGTTTACTCTTGTATTATTATTTATTAATCATTGTGTTATTTTCCATATGCACAACTGTAAACCTCCTTTAGCCCACCCTGTACTGAAGAGGCTTAACTGCTTTTTGAAGAAAACTGATCAAAGAATGAAATTGATTTAATGGTGTTCCATAAAGTAAATACTTTTTTGATCAATTTTATCTCCATCAGTAAAATCATAATTGGAACGTTTATATTCATAAATAAGAGAATGTGAGGGAATCAAAAAAGGGTCAAAATGGGGAGAGAAGGTCCACTGACCACTTAGTGATACCTGTAAGATGGGGAAGAATTAAGGGACAGGACCTTTCACCCCTCCCCACCAGCATCTCTACTGAACATGCTGTTAGACCTCTATTCCAATAAGTCTCAGTCCAGTAAGCTGTGTGGGCAATGACGCTCATCAATTCTTTCTTCCTCTGAATGATCCTTGGTGTTGTTCATAAAATAAGTCTAATGTTTGAAGCCCTACTCCCACCTGACTGTTCGTAAGTGAAGGTCCTAAGATCTCTTAACCCTCGATTTCTGTCTCTTCATCAAATCCCTGCATCCAATCAGAAGAAAGGACAGTCTATTCATTCTTATAATATATTCACAGCATGACCTTTGTTCTTTGCCTCCTACTCCCCACTCACCATTGTTCCATAAAGCCCAGGGTTGGGTGGATAAAAACAAGAATAGGATAAATGGGAATGGGGGTGGGTGATGGGGGTACAAGAGAGAGTGAACCAGATCAATGGAATAAAAATATTTGTTTGCACATATTCTTTATTCACTATGAATTTTTTCTACCCTTCATATATTCTAAACGAAGTATTTCATTTCACTGGGATTATTATAATGAAAGGTGTTTTTTTTTTTTTTTTGAAATGGGAACTGAAAAGGTGGATTCTGTAACAATAACCACTGTTTACAGGCATAATGATATGGAGTCCTATGCTACTGCTACTGCTTTTATATAGTATAGTGAAGTAGAACTAGAATTTTGCATGTGTCTTTAGTTTATCTTCACCTTTTTTACTGTTTACCGTCCTCTAGACATACTGTTTTCTGAACATCAGAATCCAGCACAGTGCCTGCCTCCTACTTAAAAGAGGTCAACAATCATTTGAAGAGTACATAAATGAACATCTATATAACCGGAACGTGACTGACTTTCATTATTTTATTTTTCCTAAGTGTATTGTGAGTTTATATTTACTCACACAGATTGCTAAATGAGAAAATACCTTCAAATGTAGATGAGGACAAGACCCCTTTGCTTTTTGAGATCATTTCTTTATTTTTATCTTATTTAGAAGATAGTTTGAAAGGGCTTATGTGAAGGCAGTTTTCTTAATGTCAAGTGACTCAAAATGAAGAAGTCTCAGTTCAAGGCCTCTTTTTTTTTTTTTTAAAGTTTTACCCAAAAGGAAGTATGAGGTAAATTGCATAAACTTAAAGTACCACAGAGATGAAACTTAAAGCAGGAAGAACCTTGCCATCACTATACTGGACGGGGGCACATGTGTCATGTGAATAGACATGACAAAAACAGCCCTCCTTAAATTCCTTTTAGCAATAGTCATCACATTCATTTTAATTTTGCCGGAATATTTCAAGACACCAGAAGGTGAGTGTAAAATTATAATTTATCTTTTTTTTCCAATTTTAAAAATTATGACAGCTAATGGTTACAGGAAATGTCCTCATTTTGCATACACGCTGCATGGGCTGAAGCGCTATGTCTGAAAAGCTAATAAAATGAGATTGCAATTTCAGTTGACTGTCACATAGCATAGGACTCTTAGTCGTAGTGCTTAATGATTGTAGCATACAATAATGAAATGAAGAGATCATTTAAAATTTTGGGGCTAGATTTCAAACATTGAGTTTACAATAATCAAATCATGTGATATTGCTCTTTAAAACGCTTTCTTTCAAAAACAGTTTAAAGTATGCTTTTACATTCTGAAATTATTTTTTAAACAAAATAATACTTATTATGTTAAAAATGCTTGAATTCTCTCCATCGCAACTATTTCGCACAATAACTTACTATTGCTTTTAGAAAAACAAAAGTATTTAGATATTTTCAATAGATAGAGTAAAATGGGTGCGGATTTAAGCAGGTGTATGTGTGTGAACATTTTAATGAGAGAAAAATGCACTCTGTTAATATTTCAGAGAATTGCGATGATTGCTGAAATCTAGGGTAGAAAAATAAATAAATGTAAGTTTAAAGTATTACATGTCAGTAAAAGATTTGAAAATATATTAATGTGACTGTTTGAATGATAACTGTGTTCCCTAGCATTTAATTAAAAGAAAAAATAAAGAGAAAATTATGTATTGTATCATTAAAAATTATATAAATATGATTAAAATCAAGAAATATATTTGATGACTTGCTACAATAATTATTATTGCATATACATAATGCTAAGTAGACAGATAGAAATATTTTGGGTAAATAAATGCCGTAATTGTGCAGTTCTGTGAATAATTGGATTTTTCAGATTTCTCTTGGTTTTCTGGCATTATGTTGCTTAGATTAAGCTGCATAGCACGTCTATCTATCATCTATCTATCTACCTATCTATCTATCCATCTATTCCATTTAAAAAAATTTAAGTACAGTTTACATTTAACATAATTTCGTGTTAGTTTCAGGTGTACAATAGCAAAGTGCTTAGACAATCAATCACATATTTCACAAAGTGTTGTTCTGATATTTTCAGTACCCACCTGGTGCCATACATAGTTATTAAATGACATATATTTTTAATTCTTGATTTTACTGAGTGAAAATATAAAAAGAAGAGTTAGAATTGGACTAGAAATAATTTATTTCAATTTTTAAGCTATTTTGGACTGAGAGTAAGTTCATTGAATAGTTATCTAAGGTAGGTCATATAGATATATCTAGTATCTCCAAAACAGGTTGGCTCTAATGAAAACCAGGAAATTAGCCCAAAAAAGATTTAATAAACTATTTGCTAACTATTGGTTAGTGTTTATGAGAGCTGGTGACCGCCAACATCAATATTAATTATTATTCTCCCAGTTTCCTAACCAATTACATCTGATCCCAATACCACCTTTTACTGCCTCTACAAACTTAAAATAACCATTTCGCTTTTCCTGCTTCAAGAACAGAATAGATACTCCCTTAGACTCTTTGGGGTGACAAATTTATTCGGGAATTTTGTTTCACAGGTAGCTCTCTTTGAGCCAACAAACAAAATGTTTGAAAACCACCATCTTATCCTGGAATTTTGTGGTAGAAGGAATTTTCTCCAGCGCTACCATAAACAAAAAAGTTGATTATTAGGCAAAATGTTTTATACATACAGCAGTATAATAATAATCTGTTACAAGTACCATAGTGTAGTAATAATGCTTTATATCTTATAATGGTTTAGAATCACCAGGAATAGTTCATATTGCCTCATTTTATACATACGAGCACATACGAGGGGGGAACCCCCCAAAACTAGAATTATCTTCTAGAAGGCAGGTCCCTGGTAGTACAGGCTTCCCCTACCAGGAGAGTGTTCTAGGAACCCATTTGTATCAGTGAACCAGCTGGTGGTGTTGTGAGAGGCTGCGTTTGTTGTCAGTGAATTTTTTTTTAAGACATTCAGTACATCTGCCCTTCTCATGATGGGTGATTTACAAGTGCACCTGCCCACAGTGCACTGACCAGGAGTTTTTGACCAAAAACGGCATGACCCCCTTGCCCTACTCTCCCTATTCAACTGATCTTGCCCCCACTGACTTTTTCTTGTTTCCCTGGATTAAAAAATTCCTCAAAGTGAAATATTTTGCCAATGTGGAAGGGGTGAAACAAACAAACAAACAAAAAGAAAAAGAGCAGAAGCACTAAACGGCATCAAAATCGACGAGTTCAAAAACTGTTTTGAGCCATGGAAGAAAAGGTCTTGATAGGTATATTGCATAAACAGAAAGTGATTTGAAGGTGACTGAAGTTTAAACATGTAAGAATAAGTACATAATTTTTGATAAATAAATTCCAGTTTTTTGGGGTCCCTGCCTTATAAATGTTTTTCTTTTTCTTTATTTTTAGTAACTTTTAAATCACAGTAATACCTAATGCCTTATGAAATGAGTTGTCTTAACTGATATAGTTCATAAAATAAAATATCTGGTAAAATAAAATAAAATATTCTATTAATGCTAAAATTAACCTCGAGATTTTACTGTATAGTTTCACCCTCCCTATCAGTTACTTGTGTCTGTTTTTTATTTTTTTCTTATGTTCTATTCTCTTTAATTTCTAAGATAAATAATATAAATGATTTCTACTTATAAATTATTCACTGATACCCTGTCTTCAACGCATCAAATCTATTAAAAAGGAATCATAATGAGGAATAATGTATTCACAGGTTTAATAGATTTGATTTCAAAATAACAAATCTTCTGAAGTCCTATGTTAAAAATAGGGAACTGTGTTTGATCACTTTTCATCAAGAATGTATGTGAGTCTCTGAATAATCATTACTTGGAACATTCAATTGTCATAATTACACAGTATAATCTATTTATTCTAACTTTACTGAAGAAGTCTCCTTCTTTAACAGTGCCTGGGAGTATTAATGAGTTTGCATTGGGTATGCACTGGTAAGGGAGCTTATTCTAAAACTTGCAGTTTATTTGAAAGGCAGCTTATACTAAAATTCAGTAATGGAGGTACAAAAAGGTACGGATATATTTTGATTCAGATCTACTGGCAATTAAGGGAGCTGGGCTTCCCCAGCCTGCTTTTGTTGAACTCATTGTTTGAGAGCGAGTCCTGGTTAGCTCAGATAAATCTCAGTGATCTTTCATTTTTTTATTCTTTCACTTACAAATCCAGTCTAACTGTACTGGGAGTCCAGGGCTACACAAATGAAGGTCAGGTGTTCCTTCAGGGAGTTTTCAGGTGGGGAAGACTGACTGGTAACTAATTAAAAATGATACTGTAGCTACAAACTAGCAACATAAAGAGGTGCAATAGGAACACAGTAAAAGCTGCTTCCAGGCCTCTCTGGGGAAGATGCTCCTTCCATTTTTGTTGCAATGGGAAATAACTCCCACAGTTCCAATGATCGCCCTATAGTTCTCCTACCTGCTTGCAGAAGCACTTTCTAAAAAAAGCAACTATTATTGATTTTCAAATAAAATGTACTCATATACATATCTCAGAGATTCTTGAAACCTGAGGTTGTAGTGAGTTATGCAAGTGTATTCCTGGTGGTTTGTGGTGATGTGGGACAGGAATAGCACAGATGAAAACGCCTTACACCTATTTTTATTGAGCTGTTTTGACTTCCGCACTTCTTTTTAAGAGCCAAACCGACATAAACTATGTTTACTAGCATTCATTTCCCTTTCCGTTTCACACTTTCTGATGGAAATAGTAGTAAAATTTAATCAGTAATCCCTAATAAGTTTTGAGATATAGTTTATGACTTTTGAAATTTTTAAAAAATTTAACAAATATTTATACATGTACCTGATAGTATGCTAAGCACTTTTACATAAAATAACTCATTTCAACTCATTAAATATTTAAGCTCATTCTAAATGAAGCATCTTTCTCAAGAGACTATTCTGAAAATCTTCAGAAAGAAGCACTATAAGAAGATGGGTGATTTTTTAGTTTGTTGTGAGATTTTACTTCCTCCTGAATTTTAAAAATTTTTATAGCTCTAAAATGGCTGCTAATAGACACACTCTTTACATTTATATTTTAGACAATACATTCAGGCAAAAAAAAAAATACTGCTGAATATAATGCTTTTTCACTCTTGTGGCAGAATTGGCCTATTCTCTCATCATTAGGTTCTAATACCAACAACCCTTGCTTAGCATTATTTCTAACTGCTTGTCTCATTGCATTGAGATAAATGCTCTCTCTGTGTATCTTTTTTTAAAATGGAAAAATATGACTTTCTCTGAAACATTAAGACAGTAATATATCTCCCCCATGTACTGCTCTGTTTCTTTTCTCTATAGACTTATCACTTATATAATTTACTTATTTATTATATATGTATTTTTTGTTGTCTGATTTCTCTAAATAGAATGTAAGCTCCATGAAAATTAGGTTTCTGTCTATTTTGTTCATATTTCAAGCACTTAGGACAGTATTTGTTGATTGAGTGGATTTTCCGAGTCACATTGTAAAGCAAATAAAAAGGAAACATTCTTGAAGGAAGCATTTCTCATCTGATCTTCACAACCATTGTTTTGATTTAGGCAAGCCAGGCATTACTATCTTCCTCTTACATTTTTAAAACACAAAATAGCATCACAAATCTAGAACTTTTAGGTTGTGCAGCCTTTGAAATTTATTTCAAAGATTTTTTTTTTTTACTTAAAAGATACATGTTAAAGCAACAAATGAATAAACAAGACAAACAAATAAAAACTTATAGACATATAACAGCACGGTGGTTACTAGAGGGAAATGGGAGTGGAGGGTAGTAAAGGGTATAGGGATCAAATATTTGGTGATGGAAGGAGATTTGACTTGGGGTGGTGAACACACAATGCAATATACAGATGATGTATCATAGAATTTTACACTTGAAACCTACATAATTTTATTAACCAATCTCATCC